AAACTAATAAGAACCGACAAATATTGGGGAAGAAAATCAAGCAGTTCATAAGTGGGCCTGCTGTAGAAAATAGAAAGGCTGCTTGGTACAACCACCGTCAAACTTGGTCCATTTATGGGCCCAATGCCGAGAAACCATATTTTATTACCCGGATTGGCGAGGCCCACCCTCCTACCACGCATACCGGCATACGCCGCTTCGTAAAAGTGAGGTAGGGACTTGGCCAGCCAGGATATTGACTCGATTGATAGAAGTAGGAGTGGTTTGAAATTTGCCATTGTTTTGTTTTTAGTGAGATTGTTATTATATTAATTGTTTAGAATATATTAATTTTATTTTTCAGCTCGGATAATACATGACTTGCTTATATGATGTGATATAATATACCATATAATCAATAATTGTTATTTCAGTTTTTAGCAGGGGCGGAGCCAGGATTTAATCATCGGGGGGGCCGGAATTTTCTTAATACGTTACACTAAAAGAGGAAAAACTAGTAATAAAAATTATTTTAAAAATATATTATTATAATTAAAACTCAAAACTTTTTCACATTGAGTTTACTACAAATCATAAAAAAATATAATGACAATAGTCGAATTAGCTAATAACTAGCTTCCAAAAAAGAAAGGAGAGGGCTACTGCTTACCAAAAAGGCAAAAAAATAAAATATATGCTCATCTCAAGAATTGAACCCGTGACCATTTGGTCCTTCTAAATTGCCAATTCCGCTAGGCTAACTCAAATTTCATGTTATAATCTGCACGCTTTGTCTTTTTATTAAATACTTTCTTGTTTATACGTATTATCCTAAACCGTTTACACGTAAGTTCGAGATTCTCGGGGGGGCCGGGACCCCCTTAGGGCCAATGTAGCTCCGCCCCTGGTTTTTAGTTGAGATTAATAAGGTTGCTAAGTTGTACGTAAAACATCTTTCATTATACAAATTATGTTATTAGATTGTTGCAAAATATGTTTTTCTCTTTCTCTATTATTTAACTCAAAGCTTAAAGAAATTTGAGTTACCTTAATATTGATTAAGTCATAGATGTATGGTTTTTGTTTGAGACTAAATACTTCAACGGCGTGCCACGTCACCTCCGCCTTGCTCTTGACTCTTGAGAGCCCCACCTACACACAGTGCACACAGAGGTGGACATCCGGCTAGTTAATCCTCCGACGCTCAAGTTAGTAAGCACTTTTAGAGAGAGAAGTGCTTTGTCCTAGTATTTTTAGAGAGAGACCGTCTCCATAAATGTTACCTACCTACACTATTTATGCTTACACACCCTGGGATCATGCTCCTTTCTCTTAGCTCCACGTCAGCACGTCATTAAATGTCATGTACTTTGTTTAGGCTAGGCGCCCCGACCAACTTGCTTCTGACAAGTTATAGGCGCCTCCTTCCCGGGACCACTGCCAACCTGTACCTCTTGGAATGTGTCAGAACCTCTCCTCACTCCCGCTTGGGCTTGGCCTGATGGGCTTCCCTAACCGACTCTATCCTGCCCTGGACACCACTCGGGCCCCCAATCCTTTATTGGGCCTGGGTTTGGGTTTCTCTTTTTAGTCATACCCCAACAGTTTTTCTCTTTAGGACCACTCTTAAACTCAAACATGAAAACTCATAAGTGACTCAACCAAAAGATACACAAAAGAGTATGTACTCAAAACCCAAGACTTTTTTTTTTTTGGTAGAATAAACCCAAGACTTTGCATAAGGTCAACACAATGATCCATAAACCCTCTTCAGGGCTAAGCCTAAGGCATGCTAAACAATTTGAAAATTTCATAATCCTCAATAAGATAAATGAAGCGCTCCATAGATAATATCCAAAACTCATTTAAAACCACTGGAAAGTCTGTGTCTTTTACATATACTTTTTTTTTAACAATAAGTCTTTTACATATACGGTGGAAAGATAATCCTTCCATTTAGTAACCTAACCAACAAAAACCATGACTTCCAATGTTCAATGATATCGACATCACATCTCTAACTAAGGGCCATGAACTTAGGGGTCGTTTGCTTCAAGGATTTGGTACATGGATTTGGTACCAAAAAACCAACTATCAAGGATTTAGGTACAATCCGTTGTTTGCTTGCACCTTTTTTGGAGACCAAATCTGTGGGGCCCACGGATTTTAAGGGTCCAAATCCGTGGACCCCACGGACTTATAAATCCCACATGTTGATGTGGGATTTGGAATATGGCGTAAATCCTTGATGAGATTTTACCCATATACCCTCATGCACTTTTAATATTCCAAGGTTGCCCTCAAATTTAACTATTATACATTATAATTAACAATAAATGAATAATATAAACGTTCAATTGATGTGCAAACATGAGTTAGATTTTTTATATCATTTATTGTGTTCTAGTTTTCTTTGACCTTTTCATGGAACGTGTAATTCTTTGTTCTCCCGATTCTAATATATGTTGTTATATGTCACTTTTGAAAAGGAGAACAAAGAATTGGTAATTGATTATGTTACGTTAAAAGTTAAAACGGAATTTTCTCGTTTATTATTATTGTTCATGTGGCAACATTATGCTTATTAATATGTATTGTCCTTGTTTTGTGTACATATCATAAACATGTCAAACATATAGAAAATGATAGTAAGGTAATTTTGAAGTTTTGTCATTGTTTTGTGTACATATCATAAACATGTCAAACATATAGAAAAGGGCAGTAATGTAATTTCTGACTTTAAGTAGTAAATCCCACACCTTTAAATCCATGATAAAAACATCCCAACAAATAAAGGATTGTTACAAATCCATGATGCCTCAAATCCTTGATAAATCCTTGGGTTTTTAAATTACAAAACCCTCATTTTTAAATCCATGAAGCAAACGACCCCTTAAAGTGGAGCAATACATAGTGAGATGATTGTCAACCAAAAAAAAAAATTACATAGTGAGATGAGAGGAAGCTACCCTTTGCTTCCATGATGCACAACCTACAAGGATGAAATGCTGAAAGCAAAAACAAAAGCATGATCATTGCCATTAGATTAAAACATATATCTACACATCACCATAAACATTAACTAAACATCATTAATTAGAACAAACATTAAGAAGTAAAATAAAAGGGGCTTCTCCCATTAGCAAAAATAATTATATAGCTCCAAGCTGTACACAACTATGACTTATTATTAAACCAAAATGCTGATCCCACAACAATCACCAACATTTAGCAATTCCTAGATTGTTTTTTACAAATCATAATTGTGTGTGGATATATATGACTACACAGTTCATAGAACATGACATGGCCTTTCAAATTTTTACAATTATATGAAAGTGACTAGGATATGATGGTGCCAGATGGCAGTCTCCAAATGGGTACAAACACTGTTTATTTTATTTTTTTAATTCGTGGTTTAAAAATTGAGACCTAGTGGCAATTTCTAAGTCCTTTTTTCATCTATCCATCATGCAATCCCCCTCTAAACCCTAATCATATCCCATATGCAATACAATTGATATTATCAGTAGGACCCTCCAATAATAATAACAATTAGTGAACACAAACAAAACCATTACTTTGAAAAAAGTAACAAGCTAAGCTACTTGCTAGAAGGAACCAATAATTTGGAGGCCGAATCTATCTACTTGAAATGCTCCGCTTGTGTTGTGTGATTCCTTGGTAATAGTTTCTTTGTATTTATCGAAGACAAGATCAAAATTATTGCATATCATTTGTCATTGTTTACACCAAATCATATCAAATCAAATCAAATCAAAATAACATATTTTATGGAAGTGTTTATACTTGATACATAAATTTGCTAAATACGGACTGAATGATATACTTTGAATCAACTGGATAAATAATTAACGCTAATAGCTATGATAGTTGAGATTTATCGAAAAAGTATATGTGAAGATAAACAAATTTAAGTTACGCAAATTTATCGAATCCAAACTATTAAGTAGGTCAAATGCCTTTATTTTTCTACATTAATAAAACTGAAACTTGTAATTTTAAAGAAACCCATCCGTCTACTTTGTTTAGCCAAATTATTAGATGACCGAAAAGTTGTTGAAATAGAAGCAAGTATTGATGTCGGTCAATTAGACAATACTATGGCTAACATATCCTTCAACTATATTAGTTGGTTTACCTAGCATTCTCAGCCATTTCATCTATTGAAATCCTTAATAGCAATAGTATTATCAAATTATGAAAATTTTATATTCGATGATCTAGTTAGTTTTCATTTGATGGTTCTTCTGTAAATATCCAACTTATTATCACATGACTGCCACCTAATACACATTATCAAAATAAAGTACAATTCTAACCAAATAATTTCAAAGCAACATCATATTTTCAAAGTTAATCTAAAGAGGGATACAAACTTGCTTTTATTGAGCCAATCATCAACGTAAATATTGAGATACAAACATCCGTATAATCAACACTCATAATACTAATGTCAGTGACCTATCCGATGACCGAGATTCACCCTCCGATCCCTCCCCATTCCCTCTAAGAGCCCGACTAGGAATCACCTCGCACTCAATAAGTTAGTAAAATATGATACGGGAAAGTTATGTTTAAAACACGTAAGGGTATTTTATTTCGTCCCTAATATAATGTTACGCTTAATCAGTACGTTAATAGTCATAAATACACAAAATTAATTATTTTTAAAAACAAATAAATATATAAATAATAGTAAATTTAACAATTGAAGTCATTAAATACATATATTAAACGTGTTATACTGGTTTTATACGTATTTAATACTTGAACCATCAAATGAACGGACATAAATGAAACGAATTTACAATAATACGGATACAGAAATTTTAAAACGAATAAAATACATACAAGTACACATACGTATATTAAATAGAGTATTTACTAACTATGCGTTTCACCATACCTCCCATACCTACGCATACTTTACAGCTTTACACAGAAGAACATAGTTGGTCCCGAAAACAGGGGAGCCAAGCCAAGTAAACGGAAAAAGCATTCCTCCATCAAATATGTAACAAAGGCGGCCAACCATCTTATTCCGTGACATCGATCTTTTTTGAAATCCCACAGATCATTATTATATTCAACAAATTTCCACTTGTACGCACCCACATTTCACAGCTGGCACCAGCTTGCTTTCTTTCTCCGATCGCTTCTCTTCCCGCTGCTGAGCTTTTTGGCTCCTCTCCTAACCTTTACTTATCTCTCTCACGCGTTGCCCTCCTTCAATTCCACCACCTCGTCACTATATATACCCCTCAATAGCCACCAAAGAACTTCACTCCTCCAATCCCCAAAACCAACCATTAATCTATCGTCACCCAAAAATAACAGAGTTCTCTCCCACGTGTTTATCTTGGCTAAAATTAATGGGGAAGCCTAGTCTGGCGGGTTTGGCCTTGTTAGTGGCAACATGCACGATCCTCGTCGGGACAGCATTTGGCGGCGGCAGTAGTTTTAACGACGAGTTCGAGCTGACGTGGGGCGACCAAAGGGCCAAGATCTTCAGCGGCGGCCAGCTGCTGTCGCTGTCTCTGGACAAGGTTTCCGGGTCCGGGTTCCGGTCCAAGAGGGAGTACTTGTTCGGGAGGATCGATATGCAGCTCAAGCTCGTCGCCGGCAACTCCGCCGGCACCGTCACGGCATACTACGTGAGTACTAGCTATAGCTTTCGTCGCTAAATATAGTAGTAATACGATGAAAGGGGAAAAGGGAAGTTTAAAAAAGAACAAAAAAAAAAAAATTGTGGGATTCATCGGAGAAATTAATGAAGCGGTTTGTGTCGCTTTCGAAGGCAGCCTAGCGTAAGCTCTGCTTGGGAATTAAGTTGATGGCAAAAGAAAGTTCAATTATTAGAGAAGTGTCGTTACTCACTTTATTGTGTGGTCACCAATTATTCTATTCCTGGCCTCTGGCTGGAAGAAAACAGGGGAATTCTTTCTTTGCTTGTTAGGCAGGGCAACTTTTGGTGTCATTTTCAGAGTGACATAACTTACCCCTATAAACTGTATAACTAAATTCTTACTTTTATTGAACATCAATGCATGCTTACCTTCGATAATCACACATGCCATATGACACAAATCCAACCTTACATTCCTAATCTCGTGATTACTAGCTAACTCTTTTCATATATGGTTGTCTGTTTATAGCTATCGTCTCAGGGGCCAACCCATGACGAAATTGACTTCGAGTTTCTCGGGAACCTGAGCGGAGATCCTTACATACTGCACACGAACGTGTTCACCCAGGGGAAAGGAAACAGGGAGCAACAGTTCTACCTCTGGTTCGACCCTACCAGAAACTTCCACACTTACTCCATCGTGTGGAAGGCTGAGCACATCATGTAAGGATCACAGCACAAAACAAATCATTATTACAGTATCTGGCCGTAACAAGTAATCGCGATTGATTCCAATAACTCTTTCCACCACGATCACATCCACACCACTTCTATGACAATTCCTTCGAAAAATTAACCTGTCAATGTCAAATTTTTACAGATAATCTATGTCAAATTTACATAAACATCATCACCGTATCGATTCATGATGATGATAACTAATAGTATTTAATTGGTGTGTGGCAGTTTCCTGGTGGACAACATTCCGATCAGGGTGTTCAAGAACGCAGAGAGCCTGGGAGTTCCGTTCCCGAAAAGCCAGCCGATGAGGATCTACTCGAGCCTGTGGAACGCCGACGACTGGGCGACGCGCGGCGGGCTGGTGAAGACGGATTGGTCCAAGGCGCCATTCACTGCCTACTACAGGAACTTCCAGGCGACCCATTTGTCTTCTTCTCCCTCCACCTCCTCCTCCTCCTTCTCCAATGGGGATTGGCAGTCCAGCGAGCTGGATCCCAACGGGAGGAGGAGGCTGAGATGGGTTCAGAAGTACTTCATGGTTTACAATTACTGCGCAGATTCCAAACGCTTCCCTCAAGGCGCGCCCGTCGAGTGCAAAGGCTCTCGATTTTAGAAACTGAAAAGGATAATCAGAATCCAAACGTGGTCTAATTTGCTTGTGCCATATATATAGTTTTACAGTTCCCCTGTTTTCGGTGTATGACGCTGTAAGATTTGGAAGATGCTTTCAGATTGGATTGTGTTCCTTAGAGTTGGGGTAAAAAATGAACAATAATAATGTAATTCTTTGTAATATATGAGAGCCAAGAAGCCGTGGCTTGTTTGTTAATAAAATTATATTTAGTTATTTACTAGTTCCACAAATTACACTAAACCGCAAGGTTGTCAACCCGCGGGTCGACCGAGTTTAACCTTGATCCGATGAGAAAAACGGGCCACAGGCACCCGGCGGGCCGACCGCTATAAGGTACCGGGTTAGAGGTCAAATTGTGTCATTTTTTTCCTTTGATTTGCGAAATGCTTCTATTTTCCGAATTTTCTTTTCGCCCAACTCAATCTTTGGAATCCTAAGTTTAACATTTGAATATTTATGTTATGTAAGTGTGTGTGAATTTTCATTATATGTTGGATCTAAGTACGATATGTTATTTGGGTGTAATATTATATGTTATAACTCATATGTTAGATAAGATTTGATATAATTTATGAGGATAAGTACAATATAATGACTTTTTCCATATTTCCGGGCTAAAACGGTTGATCCATTAACCCTTGACCCACTAGCTCGACCGGGTTCGGGTCAACCCGCGGGTTGACAACCTTGCTAAACGGTAATATATAAATTCTCAAAAAGGAAGGAAAAAAAACAATTTGTTTACTTTAAAGATTTAAATTGGGCTTTGGGTACCTATAAAGAAAGTAAGAAACGTGATAGAAAAAAGACCCATTCACAAATGAGCGCCCAAAAAAGCCCATCTCTCGGCCCGCTTTTTCCATTATGAACCCACGAAGGTGGCTTTACAGACGTAAAAGCCCAGCTCAATTTCTCTAGTGACTGAAGATCTAGTAGAGAGCCCAATCTAGTTCCCTTTCAGGTACCGCAATCAATGGCGTCCACCATCAAATAATACTGATATAATCCCTCTGATTAATACACATAAAAGATTGATTATAGAGTGAGGTTTATTTAGGTCTCTGTCTCGACCTAAATTCGAGTTTTGATCGTTATGATTACTGGCTTGCTGCCTTTCCTAGGGCCCAATTAGCAGACCATTACCTTGTAGTTTGGGAGTTTGGACTATGGTGCCCAGGCCCTATATAGGTGGGTAGAATACATTAAGCAGACCCAACTGCAGAATGGAGCCCAATACAGAAGGCCCTGATCAACGAGCCCCAACCCAAAGTTTCAGGGCCCACAAAGAAGGCAGGTACGGTACGGAGTAGAGTTTTTTTTTTTTTTTTTGGACAAAATACGGAGTAGAGTAGAGAGCTCTCTTTCTTTCCTTTTATGGCTATTTATTTATGTAGTTTTAATTTTGTTTTTTTGTTTTGGAGAAATGAAATGTCAGCTTTCCTTTTAGTAGCCGGCCGCCGGAGCAGGAATAGAAAGGGAGTGTTGACCGGAAGCAAATGGGTTGGGAAAGTTGAAGTGGTCAAGTTGCCCCGAATTCCAAGCTCCTTCCATTGACCCATTCGAACCCTAATTACAGGCAGCCAACTCCAGCTCATGGAATCAAATCGACTTTAATTACATTCTGCAACAGAAGTTGACTTCATAGTGTACTTACTATTGTAACCCAATGCTAATACAAAGCTCAATTTAAAAGCAGTTTTTCTCCCTAATGTTAATCTAGTATGGTAACATATTTGTAACTCGTCTTGATTCGCGCTAATTCGGTCTTTTGATGACATCTTCAGGAGAAAGCTCATTGCTCTGCAATGACAAAAGACTAAAAAAAAAAAATTAGGTGTCGGGTCAGTGTCGTGACTTCAAACGGTTGGGTTTGAATGCCTATTTGGATTCTAGTTACTTTACATTCCCTTATTTTCTAAGTTATAGTTGTGCTTGTAGTTGTAACTCTGATTTATCAGGATAAACTAGATAAGAAAGGAGAGGGAAAAAAAAACTTTGACATCCTCTATTAAAAGGAATATTTTGTATCCAAACTTGGTGTGCTAGATGGTTATGAAGTTAACGAAGCTGCTAATACAAGTCGTTTAACGGAAGTTGATAATTTCTTATCGGTGTAGCAAACTATAAATGGTTAATAATTGACGGTTAGTGATTAACTGGCTAATAATAACTGGTAAGGGTTGTTAACCATTCAAAATAGGCAAAACGTTATACTCAACTAGGGAAATGATTTCCTCCTCGACCTTTCGGCACTCACTAACTCTAATCTCCTCGTTCTTTCGGCTCAATGCCGCGAACCACGAATCGCTTCGAGCTATGGATCCTCTCTAGTAGCTTCCCTTTTAGATTGACAGAAGGATGATCGAGGTAGATAGGAGGAGTGATGGTTACCAGCATCGAGAGAGAGAGAGCGCCAGAAAACGAGAGTGAAGAGAAGAAATGAGTGTGTGCATAGAGTTTCTCCTGCCCATCACTTTGCTTCTATACATTCTATAAAATTACAACTATGCCCCTTGCCTTTTGCCAGACCCACAAACCTACTAGCTTCCTCTCTTTCAGGCGGGTAGGAGGTTAACTGCTAAAATAATCGCTAACCACATCCACAATTAACGATTAACCACTAAAACCGGGACCCTAAATCGACTAACGAAGTTGACGAATAACCATTAACCGCATTATTAGTTAACGTTTAACCGCTAACCAACTCGACTATCATCGCTATTCCAATCCCATAAAAATGATTCCCAATTCAAAACAATTTTATCCATTGTTGTTATGACTTTACAAGTCCTCGTAGCTCAGTTTCACTCTATTCTTTGCTCTTTGTAGGATCAAGGCTGAAATTAAGCAATATTCTCTATATGATATGTACTAGTTAGTTCGTTCGAGCTTGTTAATTGGTAAGCAATAATTGGTGATTTGGGAAGACAGACAGGGGATCCAAAATTTTGAAAGTTTTATGGACAAATGAAAGGGGAAATGGACAACTAAGAACGACAGGTTGGTCATTAGTAACTCCACGCAACCAAATTACTGGAATTTGTAATTATGGGAAACCCCCAAAACAGAGCAAAAGACAGCAATTTCCTTCACCTTGTCTCCTCAACGCTGCATCTTGGTCACCCACTACCTTACAAACTTTTGGGCAGCAGCAAGAAACTATTTGCCTTTAAAAAAATCCCACAGCAATAACTAATGGCAACCATAAAAAACCAGACACTAAATGGATCACAAAGCAAGAACTTTGCCTCTTCTTCCTAGCTTAGCTATAGCCAGGCAACACGCAGAATCCAACGCCACAAAAGCTAGGCTTGTCATCACAGTTGGGCAAAACACAAAAGATCAAAACTTTAGGTCTACATACTGTCGTCGTAGATTACAAATCGATGGCTTAATATCTACGAATGAGTTCGACCTCCAATCACTAAAAAATGGTATACTCAATGTTTATTCTCCCCTCGGTTGACCTCTTTATCACATGATATGGCTACAAAAACCGCACGTAGGCACAGGGGGTTGATCAACACTACACGACCTAATACCTTCTCATCCCCTCTGCATGTTTACAATCACCGAATCGATGTAGATTAAACTGTGTGCGTTAATTCCACGGGAGTTTAAATTTGTCGATAGAGCGTGTGGAGGTCATCAAGTAGCCAAATTCCTAGCTATAGCTTGAATGTGTGATGCATAGTGGTAAGTGGGACAGAAGGAAGGTTCCAAATGTTTGTGGAATAAATATTAGAGCAGAGAGGCCAAAGAATTCCTTATGGAACAAGGATCATCACATGCATAGAATGGGGAAACAGCCATCATATGAAAAGTCTCCTGCTGCCTACAAGTTTTTACATAGATAGATAGATAGATAGATAGGCCACCAAACAAAATAACAAACAGATCCGACCCAGAAACCCTTCTTTCTGGTTTGACTGAAATGTCCTCCCCTGGCTTCTTGTTGTGGCGTCAAGTCAAAGTCCATTTCTTCATGGAAACTAATGAGGCAAAATAGAAACTAACTAAACTGAAACAAAAAGAAGAAAATACTAATAGTCTGTTGTTGACTGATTCATTCGATAAGAATAGTAGCAGCATCTGAAACTAGCATGGCCTTTCTCTGGCAATGGCACGATCCAGCCCAGCCCAATCAGCTACTGCCTTTTGCCCGGTTACTCTGTTCATTCTTCCAAGGTGGATAATGTTATGAACTCAAATTTGTTTCTGTTTTTTTTTTTTTTTTTTGGTGTGTTTGATACATAAATGCTCACTAAAGTTGTGCTTCACCCATAAACTAGGGGGATTGAATTCGGGTTTGTAACGAATTGTTCGTTGAAATTTTGAAATAACTAATAAAGTAGTTGTTACGTTTATTATTATATTTTTTTGTCGCAAATAATCTCACCAACAGAATTGGAGTGGTGTATTCGAATGACATGATCTAGGATTAAGTTACATAATTGATTGATAGGTGTTCAGTTGAATACGAGGTGAGAATTCCCTTGTACATCAAACAGATTGGGGATCGAGATTGAAATCAGATCAATCTCTTGGCATACTAATCTGTACAATTAACCCATTTATGTGCTGATTGACCTTTTCCTCTCATGGTTTCTTCAATTTTGGCCCAAAATGATCAAGGAAGGCAGGGACTTTCTTCTTCTTTTTTCAATGTTTCTGTGTGGTGTGTCAAGAAGTCATCTCCAAGAATGCTCCTTCCCAACTAGCTTAGTCAATAGTCATCCACCCAATGGAAAGGCTTCCAGAGGAAAGTTCAGTGTGGAAGAGTAGTGCTTCTGAATTTTTAATCATTCATTTGTTGCACTGTGGGTTGATTTCGTCTTGTTACATCACATTCTCTTTGGCCCCAACTCAAGAACTAGAGAAAACTTTGCTTCACAATTATAACTCCTACTCTAGTACAAAATCCATTCATTAAACCTCAATTACATATCGTTAAATCACATATAAGTTATACCTACTTTTTTTGTCGAGATATATATACATACACACGATAGTTTCACCAATTTCATTTTGTAAAGTTATTTTCGAGCTGACCTCAAATGGATACAAAAGGAAGAATGAGATCGAGCATATGAATCCAATCTAGCAAATTTATACGGCTACATATGACGTATACATTTCAAAGCCAGACTATGACTTTATCGAACCTGATGATTCAAGCCTCTCATCGCAATGTACATTTGAACTGTAACTGTAATCGTAACCGGATTGTTTCATTAGGAGAGATAAAAAAAAATAGTTTCTCATAAATGAAAAGTGAAAACTGTTGATCTATGTCCTTTTTTTTCTTTTGCATACCCAGATTCTGGTTATATGGGTCAGCATGAGAATCAAAATCATTGGTGTTAATACAATAATACTTGAGAGCTGAGAAGCTTGCAAATATGAAGTGAAAGCTCTCTGCCTCTTTCTCACTTAACATGCAGAAAATGGTGAGAGAGACAGAGGAAGAGAGAGAGTGAATGAGAATCTGCCTTCCTCCATTTCCCTCAAATAGATAAACTAAACTAAACCCAAGGAAAACCAAAAGAATTCTCGATGAATAAACAAAAAAAGAATTGTTGTAGAATGGAAGGAAACCAGTAGAGTGCAGTGTGGAGCAGGCAGGCAGGCAGCAGAGCAGAGTGCCAAGTGAGCACAGCTGGAAGAGGCAAAGCACATATAAAACAGACAGGCCACCTTACCAGAATTTGTTAACCCCTTTTCTGGCCTATCTTTCTTTCCCCTCTCAACTCAAACACACCTCTCTTGCTCTCCCCCCTTCTCATGCTTCTTTTACTTTGCCTCCACTCTCCAACTTCTTTTTTAATTCATAGTCAAGTCTCTTATAGCATAGTCTCGTCTATCCTTCTTTTGTGTGTGAGTTTGCTTATAATCGATATTGTTATAGTTACCTGATACTTTGATTATTCGATTTTCTCTAGGGCCACCTCCCGATGTAAAATGGACTTTCGATTTATATGCTTTGGGTTAAATTGACATTGAAAGTTAAGAAGTGTGGCATTTGATTCACCTATTAAGTTCAAGATGTGGCAATGTATCTAGTGTTTTGTGCTGTAGCATTTGCAGCAAGTAGAGAGAGTAAAAGGTCACCAACTTCTTGTGCCTTCACTTGATAAATTGTACCCACCAATGGCCCAAACACAACAAAAGTATTAATTCCCCTGTCTGTCACTTACCTCAACTCCCTGAAACTTGCCCAACTGACACAGCATGAACCAGAACCAATCAAATCAAGAAATCACATGAAGAAAAGTTAAAAAAAAAACAGAGGAAAAGGAAGAGTCAGGAATTCAGGGGCTCTGTGGGAGAGGAGGGAAGTAAGTATCTGTTTGAAAGCAAAAGCAAAGCCCCATTTGCCAGCTTTAGCATTCAATGAAGTTTCCCCAAAGAAACCAAAAGGACCCAAATCCAAATCAGACAAATTTGTAGTCAGCAGCCAGCCAGCAGCAGGCACAGCAAATGAAGATTAACCAAACATTGTCAAGTTAGTAGTCTGCAAGACAACAGAAGAACATCTGAAGTTCATCTATGGAGGCAAAATGAGAATTGGGTTCATGGGTTCAGTTTCCCTATCTATGGCTACAACTCATGAATTTGACCCACTTCCACCAAATCCTACAGTACCCAAGTTAGTTCCAACCCTGTGGGCCAACATCAACCATGGAAAAGACTCTACAGAACCATAAAGATGAAAACTTTGATTCGAGAAACTGGTATTGTGTATCGAAAACATCCACCTTGCTTTCAGTTTGGAGAAACTTAAGCATCAGAAACCACACTAAACTCGTCGTCTTCCACCGGTGCTGGAAAGTTGAGATCCAAAAAACTGTAGTTCTTGTCGATTTTGGCAGCCGGCGGGGGTGGTGGTGGTGGACGAGCGGCAGCTGGCGAAGGGTAGGAACCACCGCCGTTGAGATGCGACCTCTTGTGTCCGCCCAGTGCTTGACCCGACCCGAACACCTTTGAGCAATACGGGCACCGGAAAATCCTCTCCGCCGCAGCCACCACATTCCCCATTCCTCCGCCGCCGAGCTGGGTTCCGTTGAGGGAGCAAATCCGGCGGTGGGATCCCAATGCCTGTGACGATCGGAACTGCTTCGTGCATTTCTCGCACTTCAACTTCTTCCCGCGAATTCTGCTTCCCCTTTCCATGATCCCTTGATCTTCCTCCTCGATTTCCGCCCTCTTCTTGATTTCTCCTCCATTCTCCGCCTCTTCCTCTTCATCTTCCTCTTCAATTTCGTCGCTTTTGTAACTGAATCTTCCCTTCCAGTTCACATCCCTCGACAGCATCACCAGGCACATCGCCACATCTTCTTCAGGGGAAGTATCGGAGACCGAACTCACCGGCTCTTGCTCTGCCGCCGGCGGCGGCGAATCGAAAATCCAACGCTGATTCTCACCAAATCCCTTCTTCTCATCTCCGCCCGACTTCCGGGTCCGCTTGGATCGCCTCCGGGTCGGGTTCCTCGACTCGGTCTCGCTCTCCCTGTCCTGCACGACGGAGGACGACCCGGCGAAGGAGAACTCGGGATCCGCGACCCGGAAACTCTTCCTCGGGTTCTCCCTCAACCCGTAAACAGCATCGCCAAATCCCCCAAATTCCGCCACCGCTCTGCTCTTGACGATTTCCTGCTCCACTTCCAGCTCATCTTCTTCCTCCCCTGAAGAGGAATAGGAGAAAGAAGACGACGATTCGTCGTCATCGGGGCGTGGGCGGCGGCGGCAAGTGGTGGCAGAGGAAGATATGGGTGGGAGACGGAGTTTGGCCATGTGGGATTTCATGTGGCCGCCCAAAGATCGGCCATTGGGGAACACCCTGAAGCAGAGCTTGCATTTGTGCCTCTCCATGAGCTCCGTTCTCTGTTTCGCTCTCTCTCTTTCTCTCTCTAGGATGAAAGTAAGGGGAGACGATGGAAGATGGAAGAAGAAGAAGAGAAAGATTTGTTAGGGGGAGGTTAAAAGGAGTAGGTGACAAGCATTCTTCCACCAAAAGTACACAAATCAACAGACCCAAAACTTATGAGCTTGCACATTTGCAGGGTGGAGGGTAGAGAGAGGGAGAGAGAATAAACAGGGAGAAAAAAACTAAAAACCAAAACAGTCGTACACAATTGGGAAAATAGGTTGTTAATTACATAAATGGGCACCAAACTTTGGTGTTACAAACAAATTGGTGATAAACCTTTAATTGTTAACTTAGTTGTCATTCAAATCGCAGATATTCAACGTAATATTGTAATGTTCATTATCTGCATTTCAATTAGTCTTTTCGTCCATAATAAAGGGGAAATTTTCTATGACATGTTTGATTAGCATAATAAATGGAGTTTTGATAGGCGGACGACTTGATTCAAATTTGTATCTCATACTCGTCCAACATCTCAAATATCTTGGAGACGAATGTACTATTGTTATATCAACTATTTTAAATATGAGCATTGCTTTCTTACAACCCCAAAATTCAGTGACCATATACAAAATTGACCATAACAAAAAGTGAGGAAAATATTTATTGTTATTGATTGCACTTAGATGGTCTCTTCCAAGAACGGCAAATAAAGGATTTTTTTCTCCTTTCATTAGGAAAACGCTCTTGTCTATTAAAGCATTTCTTCCTTCTTCAATTCTCTATTTTAAGTAGACATTCAAATAGATCAAGCACTTTCTCCTACGCATACAATGAATTTTAACTTACATGTTGGATTAAATTATATATGTTTGTTAAGTAATTCAATGGGCATTTTACTTCCACGATGCTTCAAAGAGCTTAAAGACATAGATTAACATTCTTAATTCGTATCCTTGTTATATGGCCATTCAGAAGATGGTGTTGACTCCATAGTTGTGGTTCTGTTTCTATTGATATGGAAACTCCTGCTTACCAATATCTCGTTTAGATCCTATAATTTCGTGGTATCGAATAGCAACAGGTAAAACTATAATGTTTTTTAGGGAATTTATCATTCACATGGAAAGAGTTTGGACTTTGGATTAAACATTTAAACTGGTTGGACATGGGAGAGTAAGAAACTAAGAAGGTGTGATGGTTGAATGGGAAAAAGAGGGACAAGTAACATGCAAACCTTGCCACTTCATGAGCAAGTAAAGTAACCATCCGATTCCCTCTTCTTAGACCCACTTTCCTGGGTAGTATCTCAATATTTACATCCGCTTCGTATCAAGCACAGATCAGATTAGGCCAGGCAATATTCTCGCGAGTACGGGTTGGAGCAGGATGGCGTATTCTTAGATATTATTTGAAGAAGATATTTATTTTTTGACAATAAAACAAAGGGATAATAGTTCATAAATAAAAGTAGAGATAATAAACAAATTAATTTGAAGTCTTTCATTTATTCAAAATATCTTTGCTGAAAATATGAGTTGAGATAAATATAAATAAATATGAGTAAAAAATAGAGCACAGCAAAACTAAATTAGTACTAGTACCCATTACCCACCCAACATAAATAATATCAAATAATACTCATCGAGCGGGTTCAAATTACCATTAGTAAAATCGTAGCAAATGAACAGGTAACAGGAGTCCAACTATTAAAGAAAAAAAAAAAGAGTGGTCTGAGAGCCCAGCCCAAAAGAAGTATGAAGGCCCATAAGTCAGTAACGTGTCAGTGCCTGCCTAAAAAGACCAGACTTAAATTTAGTAGTCTAATCCGAAAGTTCAGAATCTGAAAATAGAATATTAGTCCGCGTAAAAGTCAATTTGGATTCAAAGTATAATTAATTAGTTTTGGTTTTTCCAAAGAAACCGAAATGTCAACTTTCCCTTTTGTTCCCCTTCCCCGCCCTGGTAATAGGAGCAGGCATGAAAGTGGAGTTTTGAGTTTTCTGGAGACTTGCTTCCAATGTGATGTCGAGGTTATTATTGATAAATCAATTGACAGGACGCGGGGATAATTGGATTGGGCCTATTCTTGAGGAACTCATCCGGGTGTTTTCATTTTATACTACGCTTAATGTTCGCTTTGGGTCGGAGTAGCAATAAGGTAGCCCATTTGGTGGCTCGAAAGACCCTCAGTTTGTACCCGACTACATGTCGACTTTTTGATTTTCAGGCCAGGCTGATGTCCAGGATGTAACTATATTTTGATTTGATCAATATAACAGTTATATTTTTTCAAAAAAAAAAAAAAAATCTTAATGTACCACTTAGCACAAGCGAAAATCTTGTGATGATTTTGTGATTTACCAACCAAATATCCATCCATATACTAGTGCTAGTGAGAAAAAACAAAAAAGAGGGGGAGGAAAGATAGGGGGAAAGTGGCAAAGTTTGGCCACCCATAAACTGACGAATTTCCAAGCTCCATCGCCAATGACATGTTCCAATGAGAAAGCTGTTCACTTCTTTGCAACGGTGGAATACTAATGGGTTTTAATTTTGAGATTTTTACAGAAATAGCACTGTTTAAAAAAAAAATTCAAAAATAGCACCCAACTCCGAAAAATTCCAAAAATAGTACCATTTTTGTAAAACCGCAACTCGGAGGTGCGTTTTTCGATGAAAACGCCACCCGAGGGCGCATTTTTCGATGAAATCCGCACTGGTAGGGAGCGGTTTTGCAAACCGCACCCCCAGGGTGCGATCTGTCTTTTTTTTTTTTTTTTGAAAACCGCACCCCGAGGGTGCGATCTGCCTTTTTTTTAAAAAAAAAAAATCCTAATTTAGGTGGAAACTTCAAACGAACGTATCTTTATGTTCGGGTATCCGATCGTCGCGATTTTTTTTTTGATTCCGCATAACTTTTTGAGATCTTGCAAGCCGAAGACTGCCAAAGGTGGTTTGGTCTCGCCTTCGTCCCAAAAAATGTCGTTTGCTACCCTGAACGAACTTTTTTCTGATTTCGTCAAACTTTGGACAACCTTAACTTTGTGCTCCAAAATCCAAACGGCATGAATTTTTTTTTTATTTCACATAAATTTTTAAGGAATACAACTTTTATCATAGACATAATTTCAAAATGTATGTGGATTGCTGAGAAGGGAAGATAAGCTATTCCCAAAATCCTGTATATCCAAAAATAATTCATGTTTTGAAAATACATTCCTAGTAAAAATTATAGTCCTTAAAAAGTTATGCGAAATAAAAAAAAAATCATGCCGTTTGGATTTGGAGCACAAAGTTACGGTTGTCCAAAGTTTGACGAAATCGGAAAAAAGCTCGTTCGGGGTAGCAAACGATATTTTTTGGTACGAAGGCGAGACCAAACCACCTTTGGCAGTCTTCGGCTTGCAAGATCTCAAAAAGTTATGCGGAATAAAAAAAAATCGCGACGATCGGATACCCGAACATAAAGATACGTTCGTTTGAAGTTTCCACCTAAATTAGGATTTTTCAAAAAAAAAAAAAAAAGGCAGATTGCACCCTGGGGGTGCGGTTTGCAAAAAAAAAAAAAAAAAAAAGGCAGATCGCACCCTGGGGGTGCGGTTTGCAAAACTGCTCCCTACCAGTGCGATTTTCGTCGAAAAACGCACCCTCGGGTGGCGTTTTCATCGAAAAACGCACCTCCGGGTTGCGGTTTTACAAAAATGGTGCTATTTTTGGAATTTTTCGGAGTTGGGTGCTATTTTTGGAATTTTTTTTTAAACAGTGTTATTTCTGGAAAAATCTCTTTAATTTTAAATCAGTGTTTGTTGATTTCCTAATTTCTTTTAGCCTTTAGTATAGTTGTAGGTTGAGAAAACAAATGCTAGCCATCATAATCATGATAGTTTCACAAATCGAGTTGAAGGGGGTGTTGTGTAAGGTATTAAGTTGGTTTGGGATGTAGGTCATCGGCGTGTCTGCATCCAGTTGGACTCTCTGTGTATCGTGTGGCTGCTTCAATATGCGTCATGCTTATTATTTGTGACTCATATGTGGAATGTGACTGTCGTCCATATCTACAAAGAGAGTAATAGGTGTGCATACTCTTTGGACAGTTGAGAGTATGTTCTCTCCCCTTTGATTTCCGTAACCCATCTTATGTTGTATCACTCGATTTTGTATGACTATCAGAGATTTTCTGAACCCCAATTAATTTTGAATGAAGAGTAGAGTGTCGTTGCATCCGTTATAAAATAATTAGTGTCACTCATCTAACGATATCATCTTACATAAAAGCGGAGTATGTAATGTTAACATTGAACCATCCATAACTATTATCCAAGTCATTATTATGACTCGTAACTTACCGTGAGTATGTTATTTCTGACAAGGTTCGGTTTTCATATGCACTAGTACTCTGACCCGCAAGAGTTAATTACGACCAAATCTGAACCACTTATTAGGTGCACGTTATATGACAGTGAAAATATTGAACAAATACTTAGGGGTCATTTGGTTTTAGTGATTGTTTGGTTGATATGGTTACAATGCATGCATTGTCCACAATACATTGTTTTTTTTTTAATTTTCTGCACAAACTATAATCCATTGTTTGCTTGATGTGATAGAAACTATCACTCAAAATCAGTGATAGTAATATCTCAAGTTTTGTGTGAGATTGTTTGTTTGAGATTGTTGGAGTGGTTTCTTCTTCCAACTATGTCCCTACCTTTTAATTTGTTTTGCTTTTTTATATTAAATTTAAATGGTAGAAGTGACATTTAACCTAGAAAGCAATATATCTTATTTAAATACTAGAATAACTATCATAAAAACCAAACACTGTAAACTACAATATATCAATTTTCCTATATGCATATATATTATTATGCATGTATTGATAAAAATACATCTATTTAACTATCACCAAACTACAATATAGGTTTTATATGGTAAAGGGAGGTTTTCCTCGTAGTTCGTTTGACTCCGATTGTTATGAAATAATAATGGAGACTATGGGAATCCATGATTATAAGATGATTATTTCATTTTGGTGTAAATTTTGACCGACATTCACTTACAGATTAAACACTTGAACCGCATATACTTATCCCAACTTTATAACGATTGATCTTGATTTTAATTTTATCACACATAAAAAAATGAGAGTGGAAGTGGAGGACAAAGAAAAGGTGATTATTGTTCATATATTAGCGACTAGTGACTTCACGAAAGCAAATTGCTAGTTGTAATAACAGTAAAAAAAAAAAATTGCTAGTTGTAATATTTTTGCCGGGTTTGTAAACTACGGAATACCCGCAAAACAAGACAAATCTTTTCTGATAAACCAACCAATGTATGAATTTCCGCAGATAAATATTGACAGCAAGTGATTATGCATAATCCTACAGCACTTATTGTTAATGCCCATAAAAACCAGACACTGAATGAATCACAAAGCAAGAACTACAGCCAGATATAGGCAGGCAAACACAGAATCACGCCATGAAACTAGGCTTATTATCTTCTGGCATGATGGGAAGATTAAAAAAAGAACAAAAGATGCTGATGGATATACGATTAGGAAAAACTACTTAATGAGTTTTGGAAAGTAAAGTATGACGATGAACTTACCTCAAATACATATAAACAGTGTAAGTTTGGTAACTTCATACAGGATCCCAATTGATTTTGAGTCGGGGTGAGACAAACGGCATCGAAATTGCATAATTGTTGGTTTATCGCAAACTGCGTAAAAGGATGTTTAAGGAATTGCAATTGTTTAGATGGACTGTCAAACAAAACATCGATTAAGGGTAAATTGAATGCGTGTTAATCTCTGTTAGGATTTTAACCTTTGATTTGTATGGGTAAGTCAGTCATAACTCATATATATATATTATGTAGGAGATAAATACAAAAGGCAAAAGCCTCCCACATACCAAACTACAAGTTAGATTTTTTATTATAAATAGACAGAACCAGACTAAAGTCCAGATACATAATCAGAGTCAGAGAATAGAACAAATTTATGGACAAAAGTCGATTAATTGTCGAACTTTCAATGAGAGATCGTTTTTTGTCACAAAATGAGCTACTCTATTAACTCGACGAGTAACATGCAAGCAGCAACAAAACGACCCGGTCCAGCAAACCTTTTTCCTGTTTGACTGAAATATCCTTCTCTGCTTCGCTGTTGACTGTTGTGGCGTCAAGTCAAAGTCAATTTCTTCATGGAAATTTGGGGATGCAAAATCTCCAATTCCAGCCCGGCCCAGCCCAGCCTATCACAGTCCACTTAGATACTTCCTTTTCCCTGGATACTTCGTGGTTTTGTTTGATACATAAATATGGTCACTAAACCCCCGGTCGTATTTGAGTAGTTGGTGAATAAATTGTTAACTTCCATTGAAAATGAGCAACATACCAATGAAATGATTAAATCGTGGCGGATAAATGTAATCCAAATTAGTAATAAAAAACCAAAGTATATAAATATACGGTGAAATTATCTTATTCAAGCAAAAAACTGTATAGATTAATGTGATTTTAGGTGACTCAATTGTGTTGTTTGTTTGTGTCAAACTATGACCATTAAATCTGACTGATCTTTCTTCTAGTTCTTAAGTTTGGGTCAGAAAATGACATTTAGTTTAAAGGGTCCTCTTCTTGTGAAGTCTCAAGTCAGCTTTCAAAGGATGCTTGGGTTCCAACTAGTTAGTCACCCACCCAATCAAAAGGCTTTTTAATTAGAAAGGAAATTCAATTTCTGCCATGAGGAGGAGTAGTGGCTTTAATCATTCAGTTGTTGTTGTTGCACATTTTCCCCTTTTGTTACATCAGCTTCTGTTGTAGACAGCCCCAACTCACTGAAGAAGTTGGAGAAATCGTTTCAAAATCATCACTCCTGCAAAAAAAAAAAAAAAAAAAAAAACACAGCAATGATTAGAAATCCCAGCTTGGTGATGCAACTTAATTGTTCCACGAAAATGAACAATTGTGGTTTTAGAAATCATCATTTACAACTACTTCTATCGGCAATCTTTAATTTGAAAGTCTTGTGTATTCGTCGTGATAGTAGAACGTGCTGTAATTTGAAACCGATGTGCAATAGTTTATTTAGGTTAAGCATCACATGGGAGATAATCATATATATTTCCATTATAGTGAGTTAAAATTTGGTAGTTATTGAAACGGGTGTTTATTTTATCACCCATCTATTCGTAGTTTAACTAACATATCTAAACTCGTAACCATTCTTTAAGTGTCGTCGGTGACAGGGTAAGACGACAAACAAAGTTGCTTCTCCGTATATTTCATGAATTCAGTTACTGAAACACCATTGATAAGAGCAAAAAAAAAAAAGGTTATTGTTAACATTTTCCTTATTTCTTTTCCTGAGAGAAGTGTACAATTTCTGTGTCATCTTGAGAATCAGAATCATTTGCCTACTTGAGACCTCAGAGCATGAGAACTGCAGTGTGCAACGAAAGCTCTCTGCCTTTTCTCACTTAACGCACTAAAAAATCAGTATAAACTCAAAAGTACAGCAAAATGGAGAGAGAGAGAGAGAGAGAGAGAGAGAACCAACTCCATTTTTTAAATCAGAAGTCAGAACACAAAATTCTTGATAAATAAACAAATAGGTAGTTGATGGAGTTAACAATACAAAGGAAGGAAGGAAGCTTTGAAGAGTGCAGCAAAGCAAGTGAGCAGAGCAGCAGAGTGCCCCCAAATTGACCACAGCTGGAAGAGGCCAGCAAGACACAATCAAAACTGGACACATTAACATATTTTTCGTATCAGAGACTAAACCGACGAGCCTTATTGTTCCACGATAGTTCAATACTAACCATGCAATATTCGTCATAACCGAACCGTAAATTACAACGAAATTTATTGAAATAGTTAGCTATCCGTTTATGTCGCGAGCAAAACGACTATTCTCGAGGAGACAGACTGAGTGAGTACGAGTATGACTGCCTACCTCGAATGAAGGTTGCATCTTGTACCAACCAACAAACTAACATGGCCCAAACGCAACAAATATAAATTCCCCCTCTGCCTGCCACTTTACCATAACTCCTGAAAACTTGCCCGACTGACACACCATATGAACAAGAACCGAATCAAATCAACAAATCGTAAATAAATAAATAAATAAACCAACACAGGACCGCAGAGTGGAAGGAGGGAAGTATCTGTTTGAAGCAAAGCCAATTTGCCAGCTTTAGCATTCAATGAAGTTTGCCATAAAAACACACACACACACAAATCCGGATCCACACCATTTTATAGTCTGCAGCTGCAGCAGCCAGCAATGAAAGCAACCAAACAACGGAGGAAGGAAGTTCTTGAAAGTTCATCATCTATGGTGGTGGGCTTTCAGTTTTCCCCAATCAATTTGTGATATACCCACTTTCACCGAAATCCTAAAATTCTGATTCGAGATTTTGTTACCGGACCCTACCCTGAATTCGGAGAAATTTAAGCATCTGAAACCACGCTCGCACTAAACTCGTCGTCTTCCACGGGAGCTGGCAAGTTGAGATCCAGAAAGCTGTAATTTTTGTCGATTTTGGCAGCTGCCGGAGGCGGTGGTGGTGGGTTAGCCGCTGCTGACGGCGACGGGTAGGAACCGCCGCCGGTGAGATGTGATCTCTTGTGCCCGCCCAGTGCTTGACCCGACCCGAACACCTTGTAGCAATACGGGCACTGGAAAATCCTCTCTGCCGCCGCCGCCGCCACCACATTATTCCCCATTCCGCCGCCGCCGAGCTGGGTTCCGTTGAGGGAGCAAATCCGGCGGTGGGATCCTAATGCCTGTGAGGATCGGAACTGTTTCATACATTTCTCGCACTTCAACTTCTTCCCCCGATTTCTTCCGCTGCTGCTACTTCCCTTCTCGATTTCTCCTCCATTTTCCGTCTTTTCCCCTTCTCCCTCTTCAATTTCGTCGCTTTCGTAACTGAATCTTCGCTTCCAGTTCACGTCCCTCGACAGCATCACCAGGCACATCGCCACGTCTTCTTCAGGGGAAGCATCGGAAACAGAGCTCACCGGTTCTTGCTCCGCCGCCGCAGGCGGCGGCGATTCGAGAACCCAACTCTGATTCTCCGCCAATCCCTTCTTATTCTCATCTCCGCCCGAGTTCCGGGTCCGCTTGGATCGCCTCCGGGTCGGGTTCCTCGACTCGGTCTCGCTCTCTCTGTCCTGCACGACGGAGGAAGACCCGGCGAAAGAGAACTCGGGATCCGCGACCCGGAAGCTCTTCCTCGGGTTCTCCCTCAACCCGTAAATCCCATCTCCGCCTCCGCCGAAGCCTCCAGCTGCCACCACCGCCGCCGCTGCCGGCCTGCTCTGCTCCACTTCCAGCTCGTCTTCTTCGCCGGGATAGGAAAACGAGGACGACGATTCGATTGCCGGGTCGTAATCGGGTCGACGGCGACGAGGAGTAGCAGCGGGAGGAGGAGATTTGGGAGGGATACGGAGCTTGGCCAAGTGGGATTTCATGTGGCCGCCCAAAGATCTTCCATTGGGGAACACTCTGAAACAGAGCTTGCATTTGTGCCTCTCCATGAGCTCTCCCCTTTTTCACTCTCTTTCTCTCTCGCAGGTAGAAACAAGAAAGCAGAAGAAGATGGAAGGTGGAAGGAGAAAAGAGAAGATTTTGTTGGGGAGGGGAAGTTAAAAGGAGTAGGTGACAAGCATTCTTCCACCAAAAGTACAGAATTCCACAGACCCAAAGCTTATGAGATTGCACATTTGCAGGCAGAGAGAGAGAGAGAGAGAGAGAGAGAGAGAGTAAAGAGGGGAAAGGAAACAAACTAATAAAAACCCAAAACAGTTGTACACTTGGGGTGGATTTACATAAACGGGTCACTGAACTTTCAGTTCTAACCAACTAGTCATTAAGTTTTAAGATGAGTGCCATAAGTCCATAACAGCCATGTTATCTGTGCGCTTTGAGTTCTTTATCGGTAATATTAACAATGAAAACCAGTATATAGATATTTATTAATTAACATGGAGAAACCACTTTAATCTACACGATCCGAAAACAAACTTTGGGGACTTTTTTGGATTATTTTTATTAGTCAAACCTATCGAAATACTAAAAATTAGTCAAATATTAATTTTCAGTTAGCAATTTTCACTGTACACATGTTTTTAAAAAAAATTCTCAAAATACACATGTTATGAAAAAAATTCCCAAACTACGCATGTTTGGGCCTTCACCGCGTCTGACAAAGGCGGTGATTGAATCACCGCGTTAGACGAAAACGGTGATTGCATCACCGCCTTAGACAAAAACGGTGATTGCATCACCGCTGTAGAGAAACGCGGTGAATGCATCACCGCGTTAGAGGAAAACGGTGAAGGCCTGGTGAAGGCCTGACCTACGTCAAATCTTTAAAAAAACGTAACTTTTTGCTCGGTTATCCGATCGTGATGAAATTTTTTTTGATTCCGCATAGTTTTTCGAGATCTTGCAAGCCGCAAACGTTTGCGGCTTGCAAGATCTCGAAAAATTATGCGGAATCAAAAAAAATTTCATCACGATCGGATAACCGAGCAAAAAGTTACGTTTTTTTAAAGATTTGACGTAGGTCAGGCCTTCACCAGGCCTTCACCGTTTTCCTCTAACGCGGTGATGCATTCACCGCGTTTCTCTACAGCGGTGATGCAATCACCGTTTTTGTCTAAGGCGGTGATGCAATCACCGTTTTCGTCTAACGCGGTGATTCAATCACCGCCTTTGTCAGACGCGGTGAAGGCCCAAACATGCGTAGATTGGGAATTTTTTTCATAACATGTGTATTTTGAGAATTTTTTTTAAAAATATGTGTACAGTGGGATTTTTTCCGCAATTTTGTAAGTAATAATGTAATATTGACTTGGCAATAAGATACTGGCTTGGAAGAGACACATGAAGGTCAACATTCGAAAATTTTAGTATTTTAACTAAGAAAATAGTTTCAAAATTATTAACGATAACGTAAAAATGACTAATATGTTGATGCATTACGAAAGATTTGGTTAATAACTAGTATTTTAAGAGGTTTAGATGATATAAAATAATTTAAAAAAGATTTGGATAAAAAATAGACATTACCTTCAAACTTTTATTCGACTCTATCTTAACTCAAATTACTTATCGCATAGTTCACCACAAGATTTAAGTGGCCAGTTTTATACATTTTAAGTTTAATGAGTTTATATGCTCCTGTGTAACTTTGAATTAAAAATTAAAGCAATTTCAGTTACTTCTTTGTTGAAATATAAAGTTAAGCTGACTGATTTGTTAGTGACACAAAGTCTAGTGATGTATATAGAATTGGCTTGCACCAAAGGGGAAAAATACTTATTTTTTTCTTCTGCATTGAGAAATTCTCTATTTGGCATAGCATTTTCATCTTATTCAATTTTCTATTTAAAATGGATATTCAGTGTGAATCAACCACCTTGTCCAATAGTAAAATGTTCCTTGGGAGGTTCTTTATTAAATAGTAACCATTCCATGGACATTTTACTTCCACGATGCTTTCAAGTTCTTTTGGAAATAAGAATCATTTAGTGCTTGCTTAATTCTTATCCTTGCCACTTACCAACATTTCATCATATCCAACGAATTCATTTTTATCAGAGAGTCGAAATTCAAAATGAGTGGTATTTATATTTTTCGAGGCCATATCACCTATACTAAAAATATACACATACGTTGATCGTCTCTGATCCAAATGTTAAAATTAAAGTATTAGTAACTCGGTTGAGATCCTTGATCGTCAAACTTTCTAATACGAGATATTGATGTTGTTACACTTTCCCCCCTTTCTTCTTCCAAATGATGTAGCTAGAGAGCATTCAAGAGGATTTTTGCACAGAATTTGTAAACTGATTCTCAAAATTATAGCAAGTAGAAACAAACTCATAAAAACGGTGTGGATGAAAGGATTGAGAAGAAAAGGGAAGAAAGAAATAATCAGAAAGTGTGATGATGAATGGAGAAAGAGGGACAAGTAACATGCAAACTTTGCCATTTCAGTAACCCTCCAACTCCCTTTTCTTCCTACCACTTTTGAGTTATGTCCTTAGAATAACAGAAGCGTTTTGTATTTTTTTAGGGCTAATGTCAAAACGAGACATACATTTAGTTTCTCTAACAAAATTATGCACACCTTATTTTTTGTTTTTCCATGACAAACATTTATGGCGCGATAGAAATGCGAGGTTTCTTAATCACATGTTACAAGTAAAAGAATATCCCTGCGAATTAGTTTATCTAAGTCGAAGGTACATGTTATGTTTTGGGTCCGATGTATTCGTGTTTTTTGGTTCTTGATCCTATACTTTGTCACTATATATTGCACAACTAACCGTGGGTTTCTGTTTCTCGATTGGTTATTAGTGAATGATGTATGAGGTGTGCTTCTGCATCTAGTTACCAAAAAATAGGCACGACAACCGACTAAGTAGGAATATGTACTCACAACAACATTCTTTTTTTATAAGACTGACAACAATGTTGATTAAGATTTTTTCGTTAGTTATAACTAAAAATTCAATGAAATCATAGTATTGTTGATGTTAAGTTATTCGGACTCGTATCATGTTTATCGCTATAAATAAAGAAATGTCAATCTAGTCACAAATTGTGACTTAGTACCTGGCATGGAATAAGCCCCATTTTTATTACAAATTTGAGTAAGGAAACACTATATGAAAATTTTCAAATGGAAAGAGCGAAGAATGAGAGTGGTACTCAATTGCTACATGAACCATCATGTTTTTTTTTTTTTTCCCTTTCTTCCTTTTTTATGTGATCCTTTGAGCATTTAAAAGGGAGCCATGCATCCATCTATATATTAATTGGAAGATCGGCTCCATTTTGAAATCGGATGAAATGGAAGAAAGATATTTTTGGGGCGTTTCGGATTTGGCCACCAATTTTTTCAGGGTTTAACTTTCTGGTGCCCAACTGCATGACTTTGAGCTATACAACTTTGCTTGTTTTTATCTCGTCAACAAAATCGGATTACCAACGTAGTAAACTAGTAATGTGATGCACTTGTTGAAATCCTCGTTTCGAACATCAGTGGACGTGTATGTATATACCGGCCACGAGTCACTCTTACCGCTAGAATAACTTCCTTGTCGATTTACCGAGGATTTGAATGAGGGACATTTACCCCCTCATTTTGTTTACATAGTTTTGATACGTCGTTCGAGTTTATATATTTGACGCTTAATTTGTATGCTTCTAAAATATGCAAATTCCTAATACCGGGTAGTCGTACTTTGTGACCATTTCAGAAACAAAACAAAAGCTTCCATCAACCATGACACATTTGATATGTCGAACTACTGACTAGATAGAAGCGTTACCAATGTTTGACCTTTGAACAAGGATTAATTGACCCTTACTTTAGACTGGTAGTACAGTGAGTTTAATTGAATTGAAGGATGAGAAAACTGAAAGGGGGGGTTGATTGAAAAGTTAAGGGGCACTGAATCGTTGAAAGGAATTAAATTAATTGTGGGAGAAGAAGGGGAAATAAAATGAATGGGCAAAAAAGGAAAGAAATCAACGGGAAGTAAATAGTAATTAAATAGGGAGCTGGCACCTTAATTACCATTTACCACAGAGACTCCACATCCAAGTATTAATTGCATTTCTGTAATTGCAATAATAACAAGGCATATCTTATCCTATCAATTAATTGATCAGTTACGCAGAAAACTAGCTAGCAGCGAAATGTGGGATAAGTTTCCTGTCAATCCTCTAATTACTCTCTACTCTTAAAAGGATATATCAGCCGCTGGAATAACCGCGAGGCAAGTTCAAGGCGGTGATCTTGATATTTATACTCGTTCTTCTATAGATTGGATAATTTATCATGGGGTGCGGGTCGGAGCAAGTCGACCTCATATGAGTATGTAATTTAAAAGAAAAATATTATATATATATATATATATATTTTCATTTAAAAATACACGAAACAAACTATAGTATGATAATTATAATTAAATTATTCAATAATTTGAGGTTCTCGCGTATTAAAAACTTCATTACAGCTAAAATATGTGGTAATAAAAGTAAAATTCTAAGTAATTTGAGTAAAATTATATGTAATTTACGCAAAAAGGTAAAAATGTGGCTGGTCATGAAGGACCACGCAGAGAAGAGTATACATGTCCACCCCTCCTCGGGTCAAACCGATTGATTAAAATGGATCAGATCAAAATTGTTATCTCAAATCAACAGCAACCAAAAAAAAAAGCTGCAACCAGATTTAAAAATTATGAGTAGAACGTTAGATTTTACATATTTTTTTTGCAATGTTTGTGATATCATGTGAATATACCCCACACTAATGTCATAATACATTCTCGTGCTCCAGACGAAGACTTTCTTATTTTTCACGACTCGAGACATACTATCGTTTCCATCTTTTCAAATTAAAACATGAATCGATCGACATCCCCTCATTTCTGCTTGTACATAAGCTCGC